ATCGGTATCGGTGATCGGCCCTCATGGGTGATCGGTATCGGTAGGAAAAAACCTGATCGGCACATCTCTAGTTATAACCAAAAGTACAGTGGAGCTGAGGATTTAGAATAGGCTACAGATACACCTCAATAAATATCCATATAATCAAATAGAGAAACTTGAACAATATAGTCCTCACAATTTGGCAGAAATGATCAGGGTTGTACATATTACCAAAAAAGACAAAAGACACAGAACTTTGTCAGTAAGCAATTTATTTTAACACAAACCAAAAACCATCACAAAGTTCCAAACTGACACTTTGATACGGTTTAGAAATAAAGTATGAAATCCAACTCAACACATCTGCTTGTGTCAGGGGACACAGAGAAAAACAAACAAAATATACTTCAGTCAGGTGGTAGAAAACAAACAGCTTTTTGCACCATATGAATAAAAAATATTTGACAAAAATATGTGCTGAACTATGAGGGATGCACCTTTGTTGAAGATCTTGATTTAAAGGGAGACTGAAACCACAACAAGATAACAATTGTGTCAGCGTTATAAGAAACTCCCAAAGATAAGATTCTTCTTTTGAAAAGTCATCAAGTATTTGATCAGCAAAATTTGGAAGACAAAGTCTTTTGTGTTCTCAGCTATTCAAGTCGCCTGACTCACAAATGGTGTTTTATGTTGAGCAGAGCAAGCAGAGCTGCAGCTATGGTAAAGAAGCAGTTGTATGAGTAAAAGAACACAGGTATAGACAAACACAACTAAAGGTACCCAGTGGGATTCCTCAGGGTTTTCACAGATAAAATCTATTCAAGCTACTGAGAAGCAAAGTGCTGAGGTGGCAGAATATTTTCAATATCAGTTTTGGTGGGAAACTAAACTCGCATGATATGGATTACAGACATTTCACAACCATCCGTAGTTTTCTTTCCCTCCAAAATACAGAAACGTTCCTTGGTATCTATGTGTCTGACACTAGCTGTGTTTCCATTAACAATGAAACTGCGCAAACTGAAATTATGAAAATAAAATTGCTTAATAGAAACACAAGTTTTTCACTAAAACATTTTGTGCTAGAGTAAGGTGTTTTTTTCAGCTGTATCAAAATTGGTTTATTTTGTAAAACTGCAATAGAAACAATGTTTACGCATCATCCGAGTCACATGATCAACACCGGGATACTACTACTAGCATAAATCACGAAGAAGATGACGACAGGAAGTGGTCGGAAGATGGGTTTTACTGACTCATAGCATGAACAAACTTATTCACCTGTGATTTTAATTACATTTCTTATTTAATAAAAACATCACGATTACAAAATTGTGGGGGGTTTTTTACATTAGAATATTAGGAATATTATCTAAGTTTTGCGCACATTTATAATGGAAACACAGCTAATGACAAGCTGCTTTATGACTTCCTGCAAGGATAATCTGAGAGAAAAAAACTGTAGGTGTTCAATGTTTGTTTAGTTACTAAATATTTCATGCATCAACAACAATTTTTAGCTTAAAACATTAAACAGACTTATGTAGTTGGGATGAAGTAGTTTCCCCACCCCATTATAAGACAAGTTACAAATTCTGACGGTACAAATAGCAGCAAACTGGCCAAACTGTAGCAAGTTCTCATTAAAACATAACCGCTGAGCATTTTATTGTAGAAGGTTTCCCACTGGGTTTGCATTGATTCATTCATTTGCATTGATACTGTTGAGCAGAGTAAACATTTTCACACAGGCACAAGGGTTTGCCTCTGCAGGCAGCAGGTTTCTAGCCAGGGCTGGAATCCCTGACATGTTTATACACCGTCTTGAGGTTAAGACTATTAAAGAGTAAGTTTCATTTGGAGACATGGAGCTGCCTGTGGTTAATAGGAAACTGACATTAAGTATGACAACTACTGCAATGTGAGAGCGATGACTCAGATGGAGCTGAAGTCAGAGTCTTGTTCAAAGTTACATTTGCAAACCTAAAAGACCGTAAGGGCATTCATGGGCTTTACGCAACACCCTCTCACCTCCCAAAACAAACAGAGAAAAAAAAAAAAAAAACACTAAATGAGAGCAATAAAAATAATGCGTATTAAATCATCTACTTCTACTACCGACACATCGTCTACTCAACTGTTATATCTACATCTTTATAATACAAATCACAGACAAAACACTTTTGAAAAAGTTTCTCTTTCCCTTCTTGCTAACCTCTATGCCATAAACAGCTCAGTATAAATGGTAATGTACTCAGACACCACATGTTTGGTATTACTGAAGGTTGCAGCACATAAAATATTTTTCTTTTTACATTTATTTTTATGGGTTCCAACAAATGTATATACAATATTTACATTTTGTGGATTAAGAGCTCTGGTTCAAAACCTGGGGGTTGAGGCCCTTGAGGAGGGATTCAAACATCTCTTCTTGAGACACAAGCAGTAACTTGAAATGGAAAACTTAAATGGTGACATGTGAGTCTTCCCTTTTAACAAACTCCTCCATCATACTGTACATGAATGGTGAACTGTAGCCCAGCGTTCTGAACGTTTTCGGCTTTCCGTCAGACATCTGTCCCTCTTTGCTTCCTGAGAGGTGGCCTCTGAATAATGTCCTAAAAATATTTTAGACTCTGAGAAAATATACATGAAAAGTTGTTCAAATTTCCAAGAGCCATCAAGCTGAACATCCTAATTTATTTATTTAGCTTCAGAGTTTGACAACTTGCAGCAGAGATTGTGTCCTTGGGGAAATGTGGACAATATCTGTACCCCAAAGGAGTGATTATAAAGCAACAGATGTTGGGTTTTAGATTCAGGATTTCACTCTTTGTATCCAAGTAATATTTTCAGCTTGTTGCACAGAGTATCTGCACCTGACGGATAACACTGATCAAGAGGCCAGAGGTCACAGAGAGTGTGGGAAGCAGAAGTATTTATCACAACTGATATCATCAATGATTGATTTCTTATCACTGTGCAGCTTTAACTGATTACATGTCAGTGTCTTCTCACCCTGGTAGAGATCCGATCTTACTTCATAATGGAACAATGGCAGCTACAAACACCCTGGTGAGCTAAGCTAGCAGTGTCTATGTCATTAATATGCATTCAACTGCTGCTTTATTAGCTACTCCTGTTCAAATGTGTGTTAACAGGCAGAATTAGAATCTGATTATTTAATTATTGAAATAATCATCAACTGATTTAAAGGCTTAAAGAACAACACTCAAAGCAGTAATTAAGCCAAAACTGTACAAAAATATATATACACTTTGCATTTAAGGAAAAAAAAAAAAAAAACGTTGTAAATCTGTTCCATACAGAATTTCTTAAGGGGCAGTATTAGCGTCACCCGATTCAAATTCTGAAAAAATAAATATCCAATTAAGCAATTTTTGATATACAATTGTTAATCAGGGGGAAAAAAAAGTCAACAAATCAGTCCAACACTGTGTTGATGTTAGAAGGATCATTTAGCTGCAGATGCTTCCTTTACTACACATGATCAAGCATTCACTGGAGGTATGCCGTTATTGCATTTTAGGTCATAAAAAGTTTATCTTCTTAATTACAAAAAGAATTTTAATTATTTGTTTATTTGCACCTTTTAATGTATTTCCATTATAAAAGACTTAAATGAAAAATGCAGAATGTGCATGTTTTCTTTTAGCCGATTGATCAATTGGTCGTCAGAATACTCGATAGATTAATCTATAGCTAAACTATTATTAGTTACAAACCTACACAAATAGTAAAGAAGTCAATCACAAAGAATATATTTATGCATCTGGAAGTGGATAGGATGACTTGTTGAAACACTATTAGAGTGTAAGAAGGAGGAAGAAAAGAGATGTGAGTAACTTTAAATGTGGCATGGCTGTTTAAAAATGAGAAAATACCTAATTAGCAGATAGACACATTGGGTCAAGATGAAATAAAACCAACAGTAGCTAAGGTAACCACTTACTAGAAAAGGTGTAAAGCCGCTACAACGCTACAACCAAGGAACACCTAACAAGGCAGCAGGTGAGTCTATTGTTCCCTGATTAGCTCTTGTGAAGACGTACCAGTAACGCCTGCGGTTGCATTCCCACTTTGATTTCTCCCTGGTGAAATTCCTCTTTGTCCATCTGACTCTTGCTTAGACGTGAGCCACTTTCAGGCTTACTTAAAAAGTCGTCATATCGTAGCTTCACCAGGTTTAGGAGTTGAAGGCAGAAACAGCGAGAATCCTGAGCAGTTAGCATAGCTAACGTAAGAGCTAGCATTAGCTTGATATGTTTCTAATGTTAAAGTAACAAAAGACCTTTGTGCTGTTACGTAGTAGTTGTCTAAAAATATGCATTTAAAATAAAAAAAATAAAAAAAAACAGCCTGTTGGCCTGTTTGTTCTTTCAGAGTTATACAGGAGAAAAATAACCTTTTTATTAGCTGAAATCTAATGCTTTGTCAATAACAACACCTCATTCCTGTGGTATTGTTCATCATCAGGATGTGATGCCTGATATTACCTTCAACCTGTTCCATCACAGCTTTTGGGCTGTGAGGTAACAAGGCTAACATGCTTTACAGGAGCTTCTTGGACTGCGGTTGGTTGGAGCCTTTGGAGGAGGAGGAGCTTTTAGCACCAGCTGATAGCAGAGTCATTATGTCCTGAAGGGCCTTTTGGATCTGAGCTCCAAACCTGTGGGAGTCCTAAAGAGACAAAGAATCGGATTAATCCTGATGAATAGATTACTGAAATAATCGTCAACTGACTTAATAATCACTTAATTGTTAACTACAGTATACAGACTCAAAAAAGGCCGCTCGCTGAAAGAACAACATTCTTAAAACAGTAATTAAGCTAAAACTAGACACAAAAAAAATCTATAAATTTTGCATTTAAAATTAAAAAAAAACTTTGTAAGTCTGTGCTACCCAGAACTCCTCGAGTGGCAGTTTTAGTTTCACCTGGCTCAAATTCTGTAAAAAAATTTTTTTAAATAAAATAAAAATCTCCCATTAAACACATTTTGCTATTCAATTATTAATCAGTTAACCCAAAGTGAATCAACAGATCAGGCAGATTGTTTAACACCAGACTTTACTGATGTTATATCAAGCAGACGTATATCAGAAGTATTTTTGAGCTGCAGATGCATCCTTTATTACAAACGATCAAGCGTTCACTAACGGAGTGCTTTTGTTGCAATTTAGGCAATAAAACATTAATATTCTTATCTAAAAAATAATTTGTTTATTTGTACATTTTAATGCGTTTCTAATTTTGCATAAAAAGGCTTAAATGACCAATCTGCAGAATGTGTACATTTTTAAAATCTGAATTAATTGTCAGAATAATTGATATATTAATCAGTAAGTAAAACAATCGTTAGTTGCAGATCTGTTCCGAACTCATTCTACGTAGATGGAATGATCCGAGCTCTGTCAGATGTTCAGAGGGCAGGATGTAGTTTTAGAACCTGGTCCAGCTGGAAACGTCCAACTCTCCTGACCTGTCTGCTGTGTTCCAAAAAAAAAAAAACTAAATTATTTACCCTTGACTGACAGCATAAAAAAAATCTGTCATGTACCATTTTTACCCGTCAAATTCTAATCATATTAACATAGGCTATTCAGCCACATTTTTTATGCAGCTTAGTTAATTTTCACCTAGTTGAACTGAACTGTGAATCCAGATCTCATCACACATAAAGCAGATCTAACTTTTTCTCTGTAGTGACAAAAACCATTGACTGCAGCCCCAGTAACTTATATTAAATGAAATTAAACTACTTCAATTATGAGCTCTTTACCTGCCGGGGTCTGAACTCACAGCCTCACAAATTCTTCCTGACTCGCATCTGCAGAGAAATCTGCTCTAGTTTATCAGTCGGTTGGAACTGTCTGATCCAAACCGATCAATTGAACTCTACAAGCTTTTTACCCTGATCGAGGTCTGGTGTGCGCTTTTAACAGGATTTTTTTGTGGTTTCGCTTCCCTGAAACGGACAAATGTTACACCTGCTGCACTCCTGAGCGCTGCTCTCCTTCTGTGCGTGGGAGGGCAACATCTTCCAGCTCCATTTGTTAAAACTGCAGAGTGAGTTAAGTTTAATTCTTCACAGCAGTGGAGTCGCGTCTGCATTGGTTTGCAGCGCACTGCGCTGGTGACGATCTAATTAACTTCTGCAGCTTTATTTATTTCCTCAAGATGAACTGCTGGCTCCTATGTTTAGACTATCAGGGTTTCCTGATAGTCTAAACAGTAATTTATTAAATCCACTTTTCAGACTGGAAAAATAACCCTTAGTTTTATTGCCATAACCACAGAACAGAAAATAACACATGTGAGAATGAAGAAGTGAAAACAGGGAAGGAGTCCTGGCTGCTCAGTTTGGGTTTTGTGGTTGAAGATCAAATAGAGGCTTGTAAAGCTGAATGACAGGATGAAGAGCCCTCTAATTCTTAATAAGTAAATAAGGAAACAGCACTTCCAACTAAATGCTGCCATGTGTATGAAGACTAAACCTGAACACTAACCAGAAGTGAAGCGGCTATACTTACAGTCTCACTGCAGGAGTGCTTTGATGACACATGGAAGTTTATGAGGTCCTCTCCGACAATGATGTATGAAACCCCATAACCATCATCTGCAACCTAGTGGGATACAAATCCTGCATTAGTGCGTTTTTGTTTCAGTTTTTCAGTGTTTTTTCACTCTTTCTACTTGTCTGGAAGCACAAAGCAGTGTTTTTATACAGTTTATTCTTTTTTGCTGTTTCTTAAAAACAAACAGGATCAATCCATAGTGGAGGTAGAAAAGATGCCTGACATGGATTCAGGCATTTTTAAAGAAGATAATTGCTATTTGTTATGCTTACATGAATATTTTGCTACTTTTATATCCTTGTCATTATTGCTCTGCATCATTTCTAAGCTGTTGAACCTTATGAGTGAAGTCAATTTCTATCTATATCATATTTCAGCAACGAGGCAGTTCAAAGTGTTTTACTTGATAAAAGGTTCATAGAGTCTCCAATTGTGAAAGAAGCAATAAACATTTTGTCAAATGGAATCATCAAATGATCAAAACGATCATTTTGTTGAACCTATGGTTGACCATGTTTTATTTATTATGGATCATAAACAGTTCCAAACAGCTGGGTTTTTAGTCTAGATTTAAAGGAGTTCAATGTTTCAGCTGTTTTTCAGTTTTCTGGAAGTTTGTTCCAGATTTGTGGTGCATAGAAGCTGAATGCTGCTTCTCCATGTTTGGTTCTTGTCCTGGATGCAGATCAGTACCAGAAGACCTGAGAGGTCTGGAAAATTGATACAACAGCAGCATGTCTTTAATGTATTGTGGTGCTAAGCCTTTCAGGGATTTATAAACTAACAATATCTTAAAGTCTATTCTCTTAGTGAAGGACTGTTGAACTGGGTGATGTTCTCCGTCTTCCTGGTTTTAGTCAGAACACCAGCAGCAGCATTCTGGATCAGCTGTAGCTGAAGGATTGATTTTTTTTAGGCAGACCTGCTGTCACAGGAATTAATGCAACTAAAGATAAACACATGAATGAGTGTCTCTAAATCTTTCTGAGACATTAGTCCTCTAATCCTGGAAATGTTCTTCAGGTGACAGAAGGCCGACTTTGTAACTGTCTTTATGTGGCTCTTAATGTTCAGGTCAGAGTTTTGCTAGTTTCCAGCTGTAATAATGAAGCTGAGCATTGACTCTGGATCATTCCTCTTTAGGTCCAAAGATAATAACTTCAGTTTTGTTTCTATTCAGCCAGATAAAGTTAGGGCCATCCCCACATTTATCTGTATTAAGCATCTGTTCTGTGATTGGATGGTTCTGAGTCACCTGCTGACATCATAATGTAGAGCTGTGTATCATCTGTTATGGTAGCTAATCATATGTCCTATTATAATGAGAGCTAGTTGGAGCATATAGATATTGAATAAGAGGGGCCCTAGAATTGAACCTTGGAGTACCCCACATGTGACTTTAGTCCACTTCTTTGAGAAGTTACCTGTTGACACAAAGACTGTAACCAACTGAGTACTGGACCAGAGAGTCCTACCCAGTTGCTTCAATAATATGTCATGGTCCACAGCAGGGTTTCCCTCAGTGTATTATAGGACTGGCGGCCCGCCATCCTTTACTAGCGCCACCGCCAGGCTAAGCCTTTTTTATTTATGTTTTTAGGAAAATAATAATAATTTTTTTTTTCTTTTCTTTTTTTAAGCCGAACTGCAAGCGTCTCTGCTCTGAGTGCTTCACTGGCGGAGCAGATTTATTCCTAAAAGATATGTTTGTAGAAGATAGGTTTATAGTTTATGCATTTAAAGCCGGACCAATCACACCGCTGGCTCCTCTGCGCTGCAGTAGCTGGATTAAGTTTACCTCAGCGCGGATCCCGCGCGCCTCCTTTCACTCAAACTGGACACAGGCTGACCTGTATGGATATTTACAACAACCCCCTGTGAGGAATTATGATTCTTTCCAGAGCTTTTGATCAAGGTAGGAGATTAAACGCCACTCTGGTTAGCTCTGGTTGCGCAGCTCTACGTGAACTGCAGGAATAACTTGTAGTCACGCTTTCAGAGGTGCTTTGAGTGAGCAATGAGAATGATTTATATCTATGAACAAAGAATTTTGTGCGGCTTTTCCATCTCAACACGCTGTCCAGCGCCTGGCTCTGCTTGCGCTGATAAAGTTTATCTATGTGTTCCTGGTTGGCCGATGTATTAGTTAATGAACTAGCGCTAACCTGATCATGCAGGTTCAGCCTGGTGAGGAGCTTTGCCTCCTGTCTTTAACGCATCACGCTGATTTTATATTATATTATTATTACTTTCAGTATTATTTTTCAGGTTACACAGTGCATCAAACTGTATCAGATGCTTTGTCCACTTAGTCAGACAGCGTTAATGTTCGAGGCCGCACGAAGATCTGAGAAACTCGTTCCATAAACTCCACCAACCAGAATAGTTTCTATGACTATTATTAAAAACTCAACAGACACAAAATGAAAGAGCTACTAAAGCCACATTAGCAGCATTAAATTAAATCTCCTATTTATTGCGCATCTCTGCGTAGTGCAGCAGATCACCTCATCATGCAGGGCCGGTCCAAGGCTGTATGAGGCCTGGAGCAGAATTTGATGTGGGGACCCATTTTGTTGCTAAAACATCAGCACCTCTAACAGATGTGTTGGATTTAATTTGAGAGAGGGGGAGTAGTTTAATTGACCAACCTAAAAGGTAATCAGTTATAATTGCAGTTTACTAAATTGCATTTGTGAACAAACAGAGCTTAAACTTAAAGATTAAACTCACAGCATCAGATTGTAGCTATGGTAACAAAACAATCTAACTATGAATATTGTTCTTTGAACTTTTACAAAGTAAACTTGCCAGCTCCTTAAAATCTTACACTTAAATGTTAAACAATTTAAAATCTTTTAATTTATGTATGCTGAAATTGAATCAAATTTAAAAACATTGATAATCTCAATAAACAAGTGTTACATTCATGTGTCTGTGGTCAGTGATAAAATATTAGCATTTATGGGGCCCCTGAAGCCCTGTGGGACCTGATGGAGCTGCTGACTTAATTTGGATTAAACAAAAGTGCCAATATTTGATATTCATTTTAATTACATATTTTGATTTGTTGTTTTTAAAGACTAGTTGTGGGTTTAAGTAGTGTTTCACTGGCGATGTTTTACCACAATGTATAATTGCCGAGTGATATTTTTAAATTTCCTGTCACCTTAACATCTTTTAATACAAAAACATGGTGGACCGCCTCGGCACCCTGACCACCCGGCTTAGCAAGTTTTCTGGGGAAAACCCTGCACAGTGTCAAATGCTGTGCTCAGGTCCGACAGAACCAGCACTGTGGTTCTTCCACAAAAGACCTGTATTCATATGGGTCTATACTGGGTCTAAATAGAGAATCTGTAGAGACTCAAAGTGACATTTAGTTGAAGTTGAATATATAAAGTATAAAAGTATGAAAAGCATTTCTGTTGGTTTGTGCGGCTTACAGGTCCAAATCCTCCTCCAAGTGAAATGTAGTCTGGGTTGTTCTTCAGATCAAACAGCTCCAGCTGCTGGACCGGGGTCTGACTGGTGGAGAGGCGCCAAGGTTCTGACAGAACCTGGACCACAGACATGGTGGGAGAAATGCTTTGTTATTGTTTGGTGAGCCACACAAGCATGATAACTTAATTCTGGTTCATGGATATTTTCACAATGTTGCAGCTTTTGCTTAAAATTTAAGTTTGAAGTAAAATAAAGAAAATCAACTTCCTTAAAGACAGTATTCTAAAAGAGGAGGTCAAAGTTTGACATGATGGAAGACTCCTTTTTTTCAAATCACACTACAACCACCAACCTCAACGTAATGTCTAACATTTAACAAATGGTTAAAATGTTCAAGAAATATTGATTGTAACAAATAAGTACCTTGTGCAAAAAAGGCGAATCTACTCCTAAGTATTTAGAGACGACATAGAGGCAGAAGAGGTGTCTGTCTATCCCAGCTCCGGTCATGGCCATCCGATAAAGATTCTGGTGTTTCTCTGAAGCCAGTCTGAAAAGACGTCTGCACTCCTCCTCTGTCTGTTCAAACATTTAACATTTCATAATTAAAAGGCTAAAATACAGTTTTATAGTAGAAAGACAATTCTAATTAGTACAAAAGACGATTAGGACCACTGAAAAAAAAGAAAATAACTAAGACTTCTTTTTTTTTCTCAGAATTCTCACTTTAATGTCTGAATTCTGAGGAAAAGAATTCAGATTTCAAACTTTTGAGATCAAAAGCCAGAATTCTAAGGGAAAAAAAAATCTGAATTCTATATTTTTTTCCCAGTCCTAATCCTCTTCCATAAATCAGCAGCTACTGTTTAAACAGTTTGCGTAGAAGCTCTCGGAAGTGAAAATGCTTACTTGTCCACTCTCCAGAGCTCGGACAAAGGCACTGCTGTCTTTGGAGCAGGACCTCACTGTTTCCGTGCGGCCCTCTCTGAACAGACGGGTCATGGACGCCTCGTATGTCAGGCAGAAACCACCACGGTCCTGGAGACAAGAGTTGAGTTTGGTTTAAAAAAAAAAAAAAACAGTCTGAAACACAATCCGTATATTCAACTGTGTTCTAGCTCAATTATCTTTATTTGAGCTCACAGATCCAGAATACAGGAGAATGTTTTTGTTGGGTTTTGGTTTTAACAGTGTCTCTATTGTTCTGGGAAACACGTTGGCATGTATTACTGAAGGATCAGCATATTAATATTGGGTCTCCCACTTCTATTTTAATTTTGGATAGCACTCAGGAAATATCTGACTAACTGGCTAAATTCCTGGATGCAGCTGCAGAACATGAATTTCAAATAAAGTGGTTTTAATGGTTACCCTGTAGTAGGCCAGCTGCAGGCTGATCTGGATGAATGCATCGGGGCTGATCCGGCACTTCTTGATGCGACCCTTTCCAAAATCCCTGAAGGGGAAGACGTGGCAGTCCACATCGTCAGCCAAAGCCTGGGCCACCGCCAGGGAGCTGCAGACCTGAGTCTGGACCTGACAGATGGAAAGAGAATGATCAAGATGGTCCTCAATGCTGACAAAACTGTAAAGGGAATGAAGTTGACATGTTCAGTTGTGAGAGCAGAGAGATGTGAGTGTAAGTATTTATGTCCTGTTAAAACCAAAGTAAATACATTTCAATTCCCTTCATGCACGCTAAGCTTAAAGGACTTTCTTAAAGTTTTTCTTGGACTTTAGAAGCAGAAGCTTGGATGACACTAAGGGATTTTGTGGGAGATCGACACAATAAGGTTTAGACAGGATTCCATCCACTGCCAGACTTGAAGTGCGACATTTTCTTTCTACATTTTCACTGCAAAAACACACAAAGTCTTACCAAGTATCTTAAAATAAAATTAGGAACTTGTTCCACTGGCAGATTATTTCACTTATAACGAGACACTTTTCCCATAAGTAAAATAATCTGCAAATGGAACTAGAAAGTTTTCACCAGATTTAATGAATTATTGATTTAAAACAAGCTTCTAAATATTGCTTATAAGTTCCTTGTAAGTTAGTTTTGTCTAATTTCAAGTGGACTAAGATATTTTCACTAGAAACTAGACCAAAAATACTTGGTAAGATTTTGTGCTATTGCAGTATTATTCTGGAAACCAAAAATCCAGTTGTTTAGAAATCAGTTAATAAAATGTTCCCATTTTGAATTTCTGAATTAGTTTGCTTTTAATCAGTAAGTAGAAAGGCATAAAAAAGCCAACATATTCTGATGAGTAACATGTTGAAATTAACATGATTTGGCAAATTTGGCAAATGATACCCTGGAAAATCAAGATTATTTTACATTCTCAATTCTCTTTTCATTATTACTTATCTCTGGATAAAACCAAAGTTTGTACTTTTGAAGAGACATTTTAATTTTTTTTTTAAAGTCAAAAGCTGAAATTTTTACTTTAGGGAATTGTGGTAAGTCCTGTTTGCAGTTTGCCATAAGCCATGCAGAGGGCATAAACAGCACACATGTATGACACTTTGCATGTTTTATATCCAAGGTACAACTATGTGCTACTTTGTGTTTCTGTGCCACATAAAATCAGAATACAATAAATAGACATTTGTGGTTTGCAACATTAAATCTGACACAAAGAGCAGATACCTCTGGAGAGATTTCCCACACCAGCCTCTGAGGCGGCGGCAGTGACAGATCCACCTCTCCTTTACAGTGTCCTTCTTCAGTGTAGCCCAGCTGGAAGGCGTCTGTAGCCAGAGTGTACTGAGAAAGAGAAACACAAAAACTGTGACGTCTAGATGAGCAAAGTAGCTTTAATCTGGAGACACAACAGTTTTGACTCTGAGCATCAAACTTCATCCTACATAAACAACACACAGGTGGTGTGTTTATTCTAAACAAAACACACAATGACAATGTTATAAATGTAGTTTATTGTTGCCTTATTATGTTGAAGAAAAGTGAGTTTTTTTTTTTTTTTTTTACATTGCTCCAATCATCTTAAGCCGCTCCCATACAGAAAGCTGTGACAGACGTGCGTACCTCCCACAGATGGGCCACTGTTGGCGCATCGGCCCAGGAGTGCTCTGCGTTCAGGCCGCTCTTCCCGTTTTTGTAGATTACGATGGAGAAGGATTTATCAAACCACCTAACAGAGGAAATGAAAAAGTAACAGGAGAAAAATGCTAAACTCCAACTTGTCCACAGAATCTATCTCCAAGACAAATATATCTATGCTTAAATGGAAGAACTTGGTGTGCAAAGGTGAAGAGCATGGAAAGCTTGGCTCGGACTGTTACGCTGTGAGCAGGAAATTGTGGGATTTGCAGTTTTTTTCTTTTTTGCATTATGCAATAAACAAAGGAGGAATAATATAGATCAAATCTAATCTTGCGGAACAAATAAAGTTCCGTCCAGAATGCTAACTTTTTACATGGCTGCCCCAAAAAAACTACAGTGAACCGGTATAAACAATAAATCAATTACATTAGTAAAATTAAAACAAGATCAATAATTTCTATTTGCATGATTTGTCAGTTTTCTCTTTTCTCTCTTTCTAACAACAACTGGATGACTGAAGACTCCAGTCTGGTGCTTTGGTGTCAAAAAGCTCTTCATAATTCATTTTATTTGTTTTTTTCTGTTGTTTTGTTTATTTGTTTTGGATATTTAAAATGCCAACGTTAAATGTTTGTGAGAAATTAAGGTTTATTGATCTTTGAGAACATGTTCTTGCATTACTATGCCATTACCATTATAATTCTTAAAAACAATCTCAAAACAACAATATTATTATTTATCACAACCTCAGAGACAATTTAACATCTAGCAACATTTTTTCAAAGTGACAGGTCTTTGCCCTGCGTCTAGGCCTGGGACGTGATTAACCTGGACGTCTTTACGACTTATTAAATATTTAAGATTAACCTGATAAAATACATTTTTTCTGATGATTAGATTTGACCAGTCACTGCAGTCCAGTGACAGCAGAGAAATGATCCAATGAAATTCAATAAAACTACAGATTTCTTGACCAAGTTACTGTAATAAAAAAACGGCATCATTCACAGAAATTATTTTATTTAGAAAAACTGTAAGATTCACCTAAAAATGTTGAGCTGTAAGCTTGATATTGTAAGTATTATTATGAATGTTGATAAAATCCTTAGAAATTCAAGAATCCACTTCATGAGAAATATGGACAAACCTAAGCTCATTAATATGAACCACTATTATTGTTATTGTTATTGGGAATGCTTTAAAAAGAATGTTGGCTCGATGGCTATTTCCCTGTTGGGTCTCACCTGTCGTAACATTTGCCATGGAGCAAAGACTTGGCGTAGCGATCCAGGTTCCCCGCTGGGTCATCTCCCTTCATGCCCTGCTCTTCGTCGTCCAGTGTGATGAAGAACGCCGCCTTCTCGATGGCGTCCAGAGACTTCTTATTGAGGCCCGATCTGAAGAACTGCTGCCGCATCTGAGCCCAGGGGATCCTTGGAGTGGAGACACACACCTTATAGTCACTGAGAAGTTGTTTAAATCCCTGGTTCACACACTCATAGGGTACAAGTAGGGTTGAAACGATTAATCATGAGAAATTGATTATTGAAATAATTGCCTACTAGTTTAGTAATCGATTAATTAACTGGATTGTACAGACTTAAAATAGATCACTTGCTAAAAGAACAACACGCTCAGAGCAGTAATGAAGCCAAAACAGTGCAAAAAATATATAAATTTTGCCTTTAAGAAAAACAATTCTGTTCAAATTCTGTAAAAAAAATTCTTTTATTAATCCAATTATTAATTGGTTAATCCAAAACTAGTCAACAAATGTTCTGATGTACTGGTGATTTTCTCATGTTGATGTTAGAAGGATGTTTTTAGCTGAGGATTCCTTCTCTGTTAGAACTAATCAAGCGTTCACTAAAGGACTGCTGGTATTGAATATTAGGCAATAAAATGTTCATTGTCTTATTTAAAAATTAATTTATGTGTTGATTTGCAGCTTTTAATGCATTTTTAATATTGTATAAAGGCTTAAATGGAAAAGCTACAGAATGTGCATTTTCTTTTATCCGATTAATCGTCAGAATAATTGATAAATAAAATAATTGTCTGTTGCAGCACTATGTGCAAGAACTCAATGCAGACACAGAAGTGCAACTGAGGCCTAAAAAAAAAGTTCCCAAATGCATTGTCAAAACATGAAGAAAAAACAAAAGGAACTATTCCGTGTATTGTTTGTAACTTGATAGTGGAGTCAGTTAAACCCAGACGAATAAAACTTGTAGTAAAACTCTGACAGATGTCACAAATAGCGGCTACCTGTCTCCAGCTGTCAGAGCTCCCAGTTTCTCCTCTCCAGGAAACGGTGGTGAAGAGTCGTCCAGGATTCTCTGTATCTGGTATTCGATCTCTCTGGGAGACAGCAGCCGGCCCGCCCGGTACACCCACAGCCGGAAATATCGCCCCCTGTGGTACACCGCCACAAACTCGCTGTCCTGCCAATGCAGGAGCACATCTGGAAGAAATAAGAAAGATTCATTTCCTGATTTTTTTTGGCTCTGTATGTCTGTAGATGGGAAGGCTCAGCATGCAGAGTTTCGTACCAGTCTCGACTCCTGGTGTTCGCGTGGTGTTGAACATCCGCTCACACTGAGCTGCACACAGAGGGATCACGGTGCCCGGAACACGACTCTGAAACAGAATCACACAAACATCCTTTATTATTTATAAATCTATGCTTCTCTCGCTTTAAGTCTTTAAGTGACGTTTCCTGAAACCCACGAAAAGAGTAAGTGCACAATAAAATCGCTTATCTTAAAAGTCTGAAATAAACTCGATTGTTGGAAAGGAGCCAATTGTCACACTTGTAGCCACACCTGAGTACTGACAACACTCTTCGTTGTGGAAGTTGTTACTGCCAGAGGGAGACTAAACGTTAGCTACTTTCAGTAGGAGTAGGTTTTAAAAAATGAAGTCTCAGGAAAAAAAAAGATATCAGAAGATACTTAAAGTAAACAGTATGTTTTCCAGATGATAAATGTTCATTTAATCTAACAGAGTTAGATTCTGGAGGATGACTGTTATTTCTACCTTTATTTCATCCTTTTGAGGTTTTAGTTCTTAACTTTTTGAGGTTTGACGTCAATTTGGCGTCAGTGTCTGTCTGTTAAAGAAAACACTGGATTTGGAAATGTTGGCATCCTTTCAGTTAACAGTTAAGATGAGTGTTTCCAAAAAAAAAACACACACCAAGGGTGGCTGTGTGTTAAAGCTTGTAATGCTACACTGATGATGTTAAAAACTGATATTTTTTTATGTGTTAAATGAGTAAAATCATGTTTTACAGCACCTCCTCTCTTACATGCCATGACAAAATCCTAAACCTCTAATAGAAACAATGATCTCAAAACCTTATCCTTTGTATGGCAGCTTGAGGGCTAAAATAAACCTTCTTAAATTAGAATACATAAAAAGAAATCTTACTAGCCAAACCTATGACATGTGAAAGCTGAAAATAAATCCCACATATAAGCCACTTCCTGCAGCAGTGTGTAGCTCCTCACCGGTGTGAGCTCCTCTCTGTTTACTTTGCGTCGGTAGAGCATGAGAGCAGTGATGGTGTTTCCAGCTCGCGCCGCCTGAACTGATGTTGGCGTCACATACAGGAAGTCCTGCAGTGAATAAGCAAGAAAGATTATAATTAATTTACAATTTAAAATAAACATGCCACATGTGGATATGAACAATGGTTTTGAATGAAAAGGCATTGTATTTTGCCAATTTGTATAAGCATCTAAGCATAATCAACCATCCATACAAGTAAACATTGCCAAACAAAACAGGCAATGTAGGAAAAATAAAATAACAAAAACAAGATTATATATTATCTTTGTAATGATACAACCAGGAGTGAAAGTAGTTTTATATATATATATATATAATATATATATATATATATATATATATATATATATATGCACACATATATATCACTATCAGTGACGTGCGGTGAGGTTCATATCTGGTGAGGCACCAACTTCATTATAATCGGATTTACAAATCTAGACCCCCTGCATGTTATTGTTTACATAAGGAAATTTTGAGCATCCGTAAAATGCTGGAGGGCAAAAAGACTATTCTTTAACATGTGATGCTTAGCCACGCCACAGAATAATTCCGTTATCTCAAACTTAGACATGTAGATATTATTAATTTTGTCCTGTGGGAGAAACTGTTAAAGTACAACTCAAAACCACGTCTTTCTCGCTCTCTGTATCAGCGCAGCTACTGTATGGCTAGCTCGCTGTTACTGTCTCTTACTCTGCAGTTGTGGAGTCACAATGTCTGGGTTCATGAGCGCCCCCAGCGATGAGGCAC